AATGAATACACTACTTTTCATGCAATTTGCAGAGACATCTGTGTCAGATGTATTGCAAATCACACTTTTAATCAGCATGTCCCCCAGCTTTCAAATCATGGGACTTCACTGTAAGTCACATGATGTGACCATAGTGTAAGTCGCACCACTTCAAAATCCGCTTTCATGTGACCGGGGTGGCCCCCAGTCACATCGGGTTCAATTTGGCTTGCAATTTTCATGCCAGGCGACTTGAAAATCGTCGGCCAAGTTGCACCCTATTGTCCACTATAGGCTCCATTCACATACAATTTCAGGTGCGATTTGGGAATTGAAATTGTACCTGATATCGGATCTAATGAATGTGTATGTGAGTGTCCTAACGTAAGCGATTTGCTGAAGTACAATTTCAAAAGTAGTTCTTGTCTAACTTTTTCAGCATTTTGTAGCGATTTCACATATAGACTACAATAGAAATCGCAATACAAAACACAATTGAAAACGCAATAATTCATTGGTAAATCTACAGAAAACACGGTGAAATTGCCAACAAAAAGCACAATTTTAAATCACATCTAGTGTGAACCAAGCAGGAAATTCAACAAAGGAAATAAATCTTTGAAGGCATGTGGTATCTGCATGCTCAGATAAGGGTCTGTTATGGATTTGGGGGGGGGGACTCCATGCCATTATTTTATTTATTTTTTTTTTTTAATCCTTTTCTCTCTCGCTCACTCTTCTCTTGGTTTGACAAACCTTCCCAAAAGGAGGTGGAGTGCAAAACCAGCATTATCCAATCAATCATTAGTCCAGGCCCTTATCTCATCCCATCGTTTGACATTCACATAAGGTGCTACTTTAAAGGTGTTTGAACAGACAAGGCCTCATTCTAATTCACATTCTAGGGATCATTGAGACAGAAAGCAAAGATGCTGCCACCAGAACATGTATGTTAGGGTAGTCACACAGAGATCATCCAAATTCATTGCTGTGGTTGGGATTCAAACCAACAACCCTAGCGTTGTGAGGCAGCAGTGATAACCACTAATCCACGGAGCTGTTGAACACTAATCCTGCCTGTATTTCTGTGGTGTGAATCAATCCTAGGTCCCTGGGCAAGGTCAGTGTAACTAGCCAGATGTCTCCAATGCGACACAAATGTTGTGCTATGTTGCCAATTCAGATGTATGTTGGTTCTATGTATCCCAATACAAAGGATTATAATACTAATACAGGCGTTCTCGGTTTACCAACGCCTCGGTTAACGTAATTTTTGGTTTACGAATGAAAATCCATTGAAAATAATGACTCGGTTTACACAATTGTTAATAATTTTTTTCGCAATACAAAGTGTATGTCGGCGCTGATTTTCAAATGCAAATGCCGCCTTTTTTTTTTTCTTCACTATAATTCACAAGCTTAGAAGTCACTTTCTTCGAAGTTGCAGAAAACTTTGTATCTTTAAATAAACTCAAAGTAAACATTGTTTCCTTTAGGGATATAAATTCCAAGAAAACTTTCTCTTTTAGCTGGGGGAAGTGACAGGTGAATTTCTGAGCTATAGTGAAGAAAAAAAAGGGAGAATTACATTTAAAAACCAGCACTATAATAAAAAAAAAAACGGCATGGGGTCCCCCCTCCCATCCACACACAAGCCCTTCGGGTCCTTCGGGGGTCCCCCTGCCATCCACACAAGCCACTGGTATGTATCTTAAGGGGTAACTCCATGACAAAACAAAAAACAATAGCATGGGCCCCCCCCAAATCCATACCAGAACCTTATCCAAGCATGCAGCCTGGAAGGTCAGGAAAGGGGGGGTTGAGCAAGCGCTCCCCCCTCCTGAACCACACCAGGCCACATGCCCTCAACATGGGAGGGTGCTTTGGGGCAGGGGTGATCCCCCCAAATCACCCTTGTCCCCATGTTGATGGGGACAAGGGCCTCTTCCCAATAGCCCTGGCCGGTGGTTTTTGGGGGGTCTGCGGTTGGGGGGGCTTATCAGAATCTGGAAGCCCCCTTTAACAAGGGGGCCACCAGATTCCAGCCCCCCCTTCGTGAATGAGTATGGGGTACATGGTACCGCTACTCATTCACAAAAAAAGCAAAAAGTGTAGTGTAAAAAAAGACAGGACATGGTCTTTGAGAAGTCCTTTAATAAAAGAAGAATCTAAAAGAATGTCCCTCCGAAGTGAGATCCAACGTCAATCACGAAGCCCCCCCCGGCGACCCAAAAAAAGAAAAAAGGTTCTGTTCCCGAAGATGGCTGCCCAGCCCTGTGCTCTAAGCCTGGTTGACAGCTCTTAAATATGTAAGAGGCGGAGCCACCTGGGGGACATCATCCGAGTGACCCTGCCCCATGTCACATGCGTGATCCCTGATGTACAGGAAGACAGGACTTCAGTGAGGAACATTTCCCTCACTCAGGACAGGAAAGTGGCTTTTACCCATGTGAGATCTTTGATGTGGTAAAGATAGGACTTCTGTGAAAAAATATTTTCCGCACTCAGAACAGGAATATGGCTTTTCCCCTGTGTGAGATCTCTGATGTATGTTTAAGTTGGGAACATTCACTGTGAAAAACATTTCCCGCACTCAGGACAGGAATATGGCTTCTCTCCCCCGTGTGAGATTCTGATGTGGTGTATGTAAAGATTATACTTCACTGAAAAACATTTCCCACATTCAGGCAGCAATGTGGCTTCTTCCCCGTGTGAGATCTCTGATGTGTGTAAAGACTGGACTTCACTGAAAAACCATTCCCACACTCAGGACAGGAATAGGGCTTCTCCCCCGTGTGAGATCTCTGATGTGTGTAAAGACTGATTTTTGTGAAAAAACATTTCCCGCACTCAGGACAGGAATATGGCTTCTCCCCCGTGTGAGATCTCTGATGTGTGTTAAGACTGGATTTATGTGAAAAAACTTTCCCCGCACTCAGGACAGGAATACGGCTTCTCCTTGTGTGAGATCCTTTTGCAAATTAAAATGGGATTTAGAATGGAAACATTTCCCGCACTCAGTACAGGAATAAGGCTTCTCCCCCGTGTGAGATCTTGATATGCAAAGATTGGATTTCATATCGGAAACATTTCCGCACTCAGTACAGGAGAAGCTCTTCCCTGTTGGAAGGCCGGCCCAAGGTCCCGCACAGTCTGAGGTTCCTCAGGATACGAGGAATCCGATGGTCCATCTACACTGGGTGGTGCCGGATGGACATTGGAGGGAGCCGGGTTTTCTCCTGGACTATACTGTGTGATGTCCTCATCTTCTACTTTCCAGTCTGGAGACAAAGTGAGACAATCCTCGGAGGTTTTCCTCATCTCCCGGCCATGGACTAAAATACAAAGACAAAGAGGATTACTAGACAGGAGCTGATTGGTTCCCCCAAACCAGGACTCCGCCCACATCAGGCAGCTTGGTCTCTGAGGAGCTTACAATTCCACCCTCAAGGGAACTAGGAAATGGCTCCTCTGATCTCCTACCAGGTCATTTTTTTATTCATGGACCTTAGTCAGAGAGTGAGGAAACAACCAGAACTGTCTTTTATAGGAGGGACAGTGATGAGGGGATTATAGGACGAGGGTCCCCACCCCCTCTATCACTCATCGCCATCTTCCCAACACAAGAAGTACTGCACTTCCTTATTTAGTCCATGATTTAGTCATGAAGAACAGCGGGGCTGAGCCCCACCAGAGGTCAGAGAGTGAGGATGGGGGGAGAACAACCAAGATGAAGACTGGACTGATCCTGAAGACCACCATCATTGGGGTATTGACTCCTCCCTCATTATCACTTTCTGTTTAAGGGTCCAAAGTTGGAGGATGTTATCACATTATTATCACCATGTAAAAGTCTGTGCTCCAATCACATCATCATCTGATAAAAAACGTCCAGCTGGGAGGAAATGGGTGTAACAAAGAGAATCCATATTATGTGTACATATAGCAGTGGGGGGAGGGGGAGAGCAGAAGTCAGGAGTATGTAATGTACAACATAGAGTATATAGTGCAGGGGTCAGGACTATGTAATGTACAACATAGAGTATATAGTGCAGGGGTCAGGAGTATGCAATGTACAACATAGAGTATATAGTGCAGGGGTCAGGAGTATGTAATGTACAACATAGAGTATATAGTGCAGGGGTCAGGAGTATGTAATGTACAACATAGAGTATATAGTGCAGGGGTCAGGAGTATGTAATGTACAACAGAGTATATAGTGCAGGGGTCAGGGTATGTAATGTACAACATAGAGTATATAGTGCAGGGGTCAGGAGTATGTAATGTACAACATAGAGTATATAGTGCAGGGGTCAGGAGTATGTAATGTACAACATAGAGTATATAGTGCAGGGGTCAGGAGTATGTAATGTACAACATGGAGTAGTATATAGTGCAGGGGTCAGGAGAATGTAATGTACAATATAAATTATACACAGTGTAATGGTCAGGACTCATAATATTGGTATTCAGTAATCAGTGGAAGCTTAAATGTTTACTGTAGACAAGTTGCAGAGATCCCACACCGCTGCCTCCCATCTCCTGAGACTGCACTCAGTGACTTGGGTCTGAGACACTACAGACATATCCCTCCACCCGGCACAGCCAGCAGACCACAGAGCAAGGAACCCTGGGAGAAATATTCTGTCAGAATATATAACTAGATCTGGGCATGGGGAAGGACACCCAAGACACACACCCCAGGTGCCTAGGTCTAGTATCGCTTGCTGAAAAACATTTTTCTGCCAGCTGATCCCCAGAACCTCCATAAATCCAGTCTAGATACATAAATTGTGTCTGCAGCACAGAGAAGGAAGATTATCCGAGAGAAATCCAGGAATACAGGACGGGGAACACAGCTCAGGAAAGTGACCAGGGGATTACAGGCTGATATCACCCAGTCCCCGCCCTACTCTGGTGTCAAGGTCCTACCTTTTCCCAGAGGTTATATTACTCCATGTGCTGGCATCCATCTTGGATTTCTGCTGAGCATGGTGGGAAGCTTTTATGCCTTCAGGTCTCTGAGGTCCATCCCCCAGAGGGGTGTGGCTGAGCACATATAAGCCTGTGATCCGCACATGCTCTTTGCACTTGTGTCTTGTGTCTTTGTCTTGCTATAGCTCTGTGTATACTCTCGTGACTCTTCTGGTATCTGACTCAGCTTGTGACTAAGACCATTCTCTGTGTTTTCCTTCGATCTGACCTTCCGTTGCTGAACCCGGCCCGTGACCTGTGATTCTCTGTCTACTGTTCTGTACCGTTTTGTCCCGTTGTTGTCGACCCGGCCTGCCTGACTACATGCATTGGCGGCGGCCCATTACTGCAGCCGGGGTGTCTCGGGGGCCGCGACCTTTGGTTCCTGGCTGCGTCAAGTCCATCCCCACCATCAGGGGCCCTGGTGAAGGTCAGCCTGGGACTTAGACTCCGCGCCCTGAGGGACTTCGGTCTGTTGGTGGTGGTTGTCGCCAGCCAGTGCGTTACCCTGCCACTAGGCCTACCTGTCCGTTCCACAGCCCTGCCCTGACATTACACAAGTGCCATGAATCCTGACGGTGCAGGTACGCCTTCGCTTCCAATGTTGGTCGCCAGACTGGATCAACAGGATCTCCTGTTGGATCAGTTCGCTCAGGCGTTGCAAACTCTGCTTGCACGCACCGCTCACCTTACTCCTGGTGCTATTAGGCCGGTTGTCACTCCGGTGGTCGCTCCCGCTGCTGTTCCGCTTGTTGCGCCTACCGCCACGGCTGCTGCGGTGCCCAGAGGTATGACTGGTTCAGCCCCTCTTCCACAGCGCTTTGGGGGTGAGCCGAGTCGGTGTCGTGGGTTCCTCAACCAGGTGGGGATTTACTTCGAATTAATACCCCACGCTTTTCCGACTGAGAGGTCAAAGGTGGGTTTCCTAATATCGCTACTCTCAGACAAGGCCTTGGCCTGGGCAAATCCCTTATGGGAGAGGAATGACCCGGTGATTCATGAGTTTTCCGGTTTTGTCGATGCCTTCCGTAGGGTATTCGACGTACCGGCTCGCTCCACCTCGGCTGCCAAGCTGCTCATGTCTATGCATCAGGGGTCACGGACCGTTGCCGAGTACGCCATAGAGTTTCGTACCCTGGTGGCAGAGGTGGGTTGGAACAATGAGGCTCTGGTGGCTGCGTTTTCTCAGGGTCTTTTCTGATGCATTGAAGGATGAGATCGCAGCCAAGGAATTGCCTGTGGAGCTGGAGGCACTAATTTCCTTCCTGATCCTGATTGATACCAGGCTCAGGGAGAGGCCTTCACTCAAGGAACGCCTGCGGGAGGCCTTCCAATCGACTGGCACCTGTGTTTTCTGTCCCACCCGTTCCTCCCTCTCCTCCCATGCCTCCTGGGGATAGATTGTCTGGTGGTGAGCCCATGCAGCTGGGGTTTGCTCGCCTTTCCGAGGGAGAGCGGGCCGCTCACGTCGGGGAGGGTCGCTGCCTGTACTGTGGACTTGGTGGGCACTTTCAGCAGTCCTGTCCGGTCCGTCTGGGAAACGCTCGCACCTGAGATCCTGTCGGGGACAGATCTTGGGTGGAGTCTCCTCGTCCCCGGCGTTCCGCAGAGATAAACCACTGATCACCGTTGTCCTCTCTTGGGCGGAGGGCTCGGTGATGGCCCCGGCGTTGGTACATTCTGGGGCCGGCGGGTTGTTTATGGACAGCTCATTTGCTGCCCAGCACTCCATTCCCCTGCAGGCTCGAGTTACCCCATTGGTTCTCGAGGCGATAGATGGCAGGCCCCTGCAACCACCGCAGGTTACCCACGAGACCATGCCAGTTGAAGTAGCGATTGGGGCTGTTCACAGGGAGTTGGCCTGTTTCCAGGTGATTTCTTCTCCGCACTATTGGTGGTTTTGGGGTATCCCTGGCTCCAGACGCACAATCCAACCTTTAATTGGCGAACGGCCGAGATTCTCTCGTGGTCTCCACAGTGTGGGGCCGGGTGCATCCGTGGGCTGGTTAAGGTGTTGTGTGCCTCCTCGGACTCTGCATTGCCCACCGATTATGGGGAGTACCAGGACGTGTTTGATAAGGTACGCGTACCTTACCTGACATCGTTTACGATAAGCGCCATACCTTGCAACTGGTGCCACTCCTCTGCGTGGCAGGGTGTATCCTCTCTACGTTGCGGATGCGCTTTTCCCGGGGGCACATTCGTAAGTCTACTTCCCCAGCAGGAGCGGGCTTTTTCTTTGTAAAGAAGAAAGGTGGTGAATTGAGGCCTTGCATCGATTATAGGGGTCTCAATCGAATCACCACTAAGAATGCTACCCGATTCCCTTGATTACTGAGTTGTTCGACTGTCTTAAGGGAGCAACAGTCTTTACCAAACTCGACCTTAGGGCGGCGTACAACCTCGTACGGATCAAACAGGGGGATGAGTGGAAGACCGCGTTTAACACCAGAACCGGTCACTACGAATACCTGGTGATGCCCTTCGGGTTGTGTAACGCGCCCGCAGTTTTTCAGGAATTCATAAATGATGTCCTTCGTGACTTGTTGCAGC